TTTTCAAATCTTTTTCGAATTGTTCTCAGTTGTGTCATATATCACAGTCATAAAATAGACTGCTTGTGAGTCATTCAGGAATTTTGATACGCTTAATATAATGTGATCGTAAATAATGTTTATCACTGCATCATTTTATGACCAGCTTCAAAAGAAGAGTGCGATTTTTTCTTTTATTATTCATATGATTATTATCTTCATTTGATAATATTATGATAGAATAGAACTTGATGACCAAATGTTCTAATAGCATGATCAGTTACATGTTCTCAAAGGTCAGAACCGAATCTAGAATCGAATCATCTAAAAGTTACATTTCAGTTGCATTTTCTGTTCGTCTTCCTTTGAAGCTTCAACCTATGTCGTGATTTTACGTGATAATACTGCACTCATTGTTCATTAATTCAATAATCGTATTGAATTTTCAGGTGTCTGAATACAGTAGTTGTGGTAGTGTTATTATAAAAAGAGTTATGTATATAACTTGGTGTACAGTAGATGTAATAAAGGTAACACTACAATGACTACAGCATATTCAGTACATTCGAATGGATGTGTTCATCAGTTAATCAAGTCAAATATTGATCATTCATTAGCAAATACGACTAATAAAGTTAGTAGTAATAGCAGTAATTTTGATACGAGCATAAACAGTCCCTCAAGCACAATCACAACTGCGGCAGCACTCTGTAAGGCGCCTTCTGATTGCGGCGGCTCTTCGTCGGGTCTTGGTGGTATGACCAAAACCGATATCGTTTCTTCGGACGAATCTTCGTTAGCAAGGTACGTTTCGTTCATCATGTGCTCGAAGTTAGAAGAACGTTTCATAAAGTTGTGCAATCAACTACTTTTTGATGTGCGTTGTCTTTATCTATGAATTTTGATCTTTCATTTTGTGTTATGCTACAGTCTTATTTGACAACAAATTACGCGTTAACTGCACCTAAATCTGCGATGACAGTTCTGCATGAGATTACCTCAGAAATGTTTCGATGCTTATGGAGGTCTTATCAGAGCGTTCACGTTTAGTCTTTCCACTCTATCAGTTTGCCGCGTTGTAAAAAACAGTGAACGGAACATTTTTCGGTGGATATTGATAAGACTATAGGTATGTTTTGATAAGAATTTGTGAATGTGGAGTATGTCAAAAGGGAGTAACAATGACCTAAACATTGTTGGTTTGTTTTTAGTTTTTTAAGTGACCTCGGGCAGGTATGGTCTGTCACTCTTAAGATGTCTTCGCTTATTCATATATGTGGTTGAGCACCGCACTCCTTCTTTTTTTTTCGTGTTTCGAAAAATTACAAATTCATTCGCGTTCGCAACCTGTCAGTTGTGTTCCATTCATATTACTCATTTTTTTCCTGTTCAATAATGTTATGGTTTCAAATTGGTTCATTCTCTTTATTTTTTGAGGGAAGGGAACGAAATATTTTATTTAAGTACATTGGAGAAGGAAATATTTGAATTTCATTAGTGACACGACATTTGAGGACGTATAATGAAGACAGTGATGTCGCAAATATATGTTCCGAGGAAATATTTTGGGTTTATTGCGCAAAATATGAAGGTTTTAGTTTATGATTAGTGCGACATTTTATTCACGATCAGAGAAATTCGATACATATCATATAAATAAATGAAAGGGTCATTTTTTCGAGTGGAACAGCTACGCTTTTTTATTCACAAAAGTTGAATGCAGTCAAAAATCAGCGTTAATTCGCTCGTTGATTTATGATTCATTTTGCCTATAAACAAACGTTCAGTCATTCTATTCAATGTTTTCAAATGTTTTGTTTACAAAGTTTGTGATTTTAAACAATTCTTCTTCTCTTATCATGTTAATTCCTTTGCACAAAGAATCGATAATGTTTTCTTTTTGCTTGATTTTCGAAAATTATTCCACCCCCGCTCATTCCCAAAAACGTTGTCGTAAAATAAGAATTTATCTACATTTTCATGTAATTATTCAGCTGCATTTCTCATTCCGTCCAGTTATCTATCGTTCAATCAATTAGTCAATCAATCAACTGAACTAATCTGAAAATATTTTCCATAAAGGTTCTTTTCTGTTCATTTCATTCTCATCTTTTCCACATATTATTTTTCTTCTTATAATTTATTTCATTTTGAAATTGAAGGATATTTCAACTGACATTTTTATCTCATATTAGAAGTGAATTTTCATTCCAAAATGCGATACAAATTTATGAATCTTTTGCTGAATTTAGTTTATTTCTATTTCTTTTCATTCATTCTTCGGTTGTTTCCAATCTTCGTTTTGAAATTTCAGTCTCATTGGTTATATATTATAAATATTATTGTAAAATTCATTCAAATAGGAAACAATGATGAGAGAATAACGCACGTCATGAGTGCATAGTGTAGGTGTTACTTCGGATGCATCCGATAGCAGCAGCAATTCATTCATTCGCATGTCAAATAATGCCTTCCTGGAAGCATTGTAGTCGAAGCGTTTATAAGCAGCTGGATATACAAATTTGCTCATGATGTAATCATTTCTTTTGTGAACAGTATAATAGAAACGTGGTATTGAATATGATATGTTTGTCGGTGTGTTGTGACGTTGACGTTTATATATATATAT